TTTTGTCCCTGACTGCAGCAGAACCAGGAATTCCTTATCTAACAGGTTTCACAGTCTCTCCACCCACAGATTTGAACAGCAATCTCTGGGTGCTCTGGACATAGGTGGGACAGTATTAGAAATGCAGGAGTAGGAACAGAGAAGCAGCTGGAGTAATGTGAGAGCCACATAAGGGAACACAAACTGCAGAAGCTCAGGATGGTGCCAGGTGGATTGTGGAGCAAAGGCCACCAAAGGATCAGTAATTAGTTACACCCCCTTCCAGCAGCAGCGAGGAGCCAGCTGGGATTTCTGTCTGTGCACCAGGGGCACCTCTCACAACACCACCAGCAATGTACAGAAACCCCTTCTCCAATCTCTAGCACTTTTCATTGTGCCTCCAAGGAAGTCATCCTCCTGGGAGGTCCACCTCCAGTGTCCTCACTCCACGAGCTATGCCACCACACCAGATGTCCCCCAGGCTCTCCAGGGACACATCTCCTGGTGACTCCTGTCTGCAGCCCTTAGCTGCTCAGTCGAGGGTGAACTGGTGTTTTCAGAAGGATGCAGAGGCTGTCTCAGCCACTGCAGGACAGGCCACAAACAAGAGCCACAAAGGCCACAGAGGAGAGGGCAAGAGCAGGAGAGTCAGTGGATTCAGACACCCACCCCGTAGCAGTAACGACCAAACGGCACACTGGTGGACAAAGCAAGAAGCAGAAATCTGAGGAGACACAGGACATGCCCACTGCCCAAAGCACACGTGCAGCCACTTCCCAACTGAGCCAGACCTGGAGGCTTCGTCCCTTCTCTCCCAAACCAGCTCCAGCTTCCTGCTCCCCACTCACAGCAGCAGGTGCCCTTCCCCGGCAGAGGCTCTCGGGTGCAGATCCACCACCAGATTTCTGGCCAGAAAAGCAGAGGTGAGCACCCACTCAGCCTTCAGCACCCCTGCTCCCCGGGCTCAGGGCCGCTGGCAGTACAGTTCATACAAGCTGTTTGCCAGCTTCTGTGTCTCTTGAAAGGCCTCACAGCTCTGCTCCCAGCTGGGGGGTATCTGCTCCTCCCCGTAGTAAGCCCCCGCGATGGCTCCTGCCATGGTGGCAATGGTGTCTGTGTCTCCACCCAGCGAGATGCAGTAGATGATGGTCCTCTGCAGGTTGCTGTAGTGGTCAGGGATGTCTGGGTCAGCGTCCATGCAGCGCAGGAAGGAGTAGATGGCCGTGGGGACGGAGCGCAGGGCGGCGATGCCATTGCCTGGGAACACACCCGAGCACCTTCAGCCCTGCAGCACCCAAGTCTGCCCTCCCCCACAGGCTCCTGTCCCTCCCAACCACAGCTGCCCATTGCCAGTGACTCATGATACTGGTATCACTGGTTTTAGCACGACAAGGTGCAAAGTGTGCCTCAGAAATCTGAGGTTCCCCAGCAGTACTCGTGGCCCTGCTACACCAGTACAGCTTGGCAACACACATCAACTGCTCCCATCCAGCACAAAGATCTGACAGCCGTGAAGGGATCTCAGAATACTAAGAAGTGCTACTCATGATAAGCTTTTCTTAGCATGACTTTTTTTCCCCATGTCACTGGGTCAAGACTCGGGGACCTCCTGAGCACAGGCAGCCTTTCCAGCACATTCTGAGCCCGAGGCAGCAGCAGCAGCCTGGGGGAGGACACCCTGCCCAGGCTGGCTGAGCTATGATCCTGCTTCCAGCTCTGGCCTAAGACTTGCAGTGAGAAAGGTACTTACCCAATTCAAACAACACATCTGCTTTGGGAACACTGCTGAGCTCCAAAAATTCCTTTATTTTCTTTAGACGCCTCGAAAATGGCAAATCCTCAAAACCCAGCCTGGAAACAAAGAGCACAATGAAGAAGGAACACCAAGAGCCAGAATAAACCATACACAGCAGCGTCCATGCTCTGCGCAGCCACTTACGCTCGGGCATCAGTAAGAGACTTATCATCTGCCTCCACATCTTCCATGTGGCTAATGAGCTGCTCCAGGAAGGTCTCCTTGCTCAGCTCTCCCTGCAGGGCGAGGTGCACGGCCAGGGCCTGCAGGATGGCCCCGTTGTAGCCCAGGGAGTTGGCGTGGGTCAGCTCCGCGCTCAGCTTCGCAAACTGCCGGGGGGGACACGCGGTCAGCAAACTGCCCGAGACCCGGGGAGGGGGGCTGCCGGGGCCCCCAGCAGCTGAGCACAGCTCCCTCCTCACCTTCTTCACGTCCTGGGTGTCGGCGTAGAGGAGCGAGATGCCCGCCACCCGCATGGCGCCGCCGTTGCCGTAGGAGCCCTTCCCGCTGAACTGCGCTCTCGCCGGCTCCAGCACGTCGCTGCACTTGGGGCTCAGCAGCTTCTTGAAGACGTTGACAACGGCCATCCCGTAGCCCCTGTTGGGTTCCCTCTTGTACTCCTCTGCAAACCTGGCGCGGGCAAGAGGGGAGAAGCACATGGGACGTCAGGTCTGTCCCTGGGGCTGGTGAAGAGGCTGCGTAAAGCCACTTGGTAAAGTGAATTAGTAGCACGGGGGTGGTTCAGTGGCAGATGGGTTCAAGGGACTTGGTTCTTTAGAGAAAGAATCCAATTCCCAAAACCTGGTGTGAAAGGAGGAAGGGGTGTGTCAACACCACCTTCACAACCCACTTGTCTCCCTCTCAACTTTGCCTTGAAATAGAAGCAAACTGGAAACATTTCCATGGGTTGCAACCACAAAGAAAGTCTTTTGTTCAAGTTCAGCGGAAGAGTTTTCTAAACAAATAAATGCTCTCCCCTAAGTGGAACCAAATGCTACCAGAGCTTTGGATTCAAAAGGGAAACGGATCAGAAACAAGCTGAAGCTGACCTCACTACATTCCCTAACTGAATTAAGGGAAGTACAAACATAAATAGCAACAAGTAAACATGAAAGGAAACACTTCTGAAATTTCTAGGCATAATCTTCCACAAGGGTGAATAAACCTACACGGATCCTGCTGCCTTCCAAAGCAGCCTTGGAACCCACACCAAAGCTGCATGTTCCAGGAGGGTGCAGAGCACACCAGAAATGACACCATTACCCATAGCTCTGCTGGTTTTTTTTTCCTCCACAAATTCACAACGACTTTGTCACAGCCCCTGTCCCCCAAAATTACAGTGGTTGCTGAGTTTCACGAGGGTTTTGCCCTCTCTGGTAACTGCCAGCACTCCAGCCCAGAGCTGGCTGCTGCCCTCACCTCTTGGCCATGTCCACCTCGTCGAAGCCGCGCTTGGCGAGCAGGGACTGCACCACCGACCTGCTCATGGCCGTGTCATCTGTGTAGGAGAGTGTTTCTGAAACAGAACAGCCAAAACAGAACATGAAACAAACAAGGACAAACTCTCCTCCTGTCCTCTCCCACTGTCAGCACTTCCCTACTCTTCAAGGCCTAATTATACGGAGTGAAAAGAGGACCAGAAGTTGCCCAGCACTTTGAGCTCTTCACTAGCCATGGGCATCAAAGTAAGAAGACACAGAGCAAGAGAGATTCTCCCACAGTAATAATGAGACAGAAAGCATTTCAAGATTAATTAAAGCCCAGAGAAAGTGTTTGGTACCCAGAGATGCATATAAACAAGTGAGAAACTAGTCTTTCTCCACCAATTTACACCACACCCTGAGAAGCAGAGGAAAGAAAGCACAGCTGCAATTCTGGACAAGACTGCACAGAATCAAGTGCCTTTAGATCCCACTGGAAGGCTTCACAGGGCTTACTGCACAGCTCAATCCCAACACTGACGTTATTGCTTGCTAAGAGTCAAATAATCCTTCTTGTGCTTCTCTCACTCTAATCCTCACCTGTTTGTGGTACATTTGTTTCTCGCTGACACCCCAGCACTGTGATACCCCTGATACCAGCATGCCACACACCCGGGCTTCTCAGGCTGAGTGCAGCCACCCACAACCCCCTCCACACCAGCCTCGGGTGGAAGGGACCAGAAACCGCCCTGGGGGAGCCAGGAGCTGGGCGCTGCCTCAGCGAGCTCACCCTCACCCTGCGGCAGGCCTGAGCCCCAGGGCACAGGGGAAGGCGAGCAGAGCCCGGAGCCCCAGTGGGGGTGAGGGGCAG